TTATATAGAGAGAGAGAGAGAGAGAGAGAGAGAGAGAGAGAGAGAGAGACGTGATTACTTCTTGTTCTGGTGGGTTCACTATTGGACGCCATAATCAATTATATAAAATCATAATCATAATATTGAGCTTGCTCCACTAAGCTTACAAGTGTTTATAAGAAAAAATAGAAATTACTAACTCGAAATGCAATTCTAAAAGATGAAAATCAATAAAATAATAATAAATATGCTAAAATGGAATTGGGTTCAAATATTTCGTATTGATTTAGGAACTTTTTAATTTACTCTTAAGTTCTATATACACTCCCGTATATCTCTCGCACCAAAAAATGTGTGGTTAAAAAGTAAGTAAAAATTGCGAGTCGCACAGGATGTAGTAATAAAAATCTCAACTTATAAACATTTATATGGCTCTAAAAAATTTCTTGAAATATAGAATTTCATGCACTTAGAAGTAAATAAATTTGTTGCATGCATATATATAATTGTCAAAAGAATGTGAAATCAAATTACAAGGTGAAGCATTATTAATTAAATAGAAAAACGTACATATGAAACAAATCGTATCTTAGAAAACTTCCAATTCTGATTTCTCTTATTTGAATTTCTTGATGAATGATGCATCTCCATTAATTCAACATGAGAAATTATGATAACTACGTTCTCCTCCTACCCATTGATGTTGGATTACCATCAAAAAGGCCTTCGATTAATGTCTCGATATCCTCAGGTTGGTATTTTATGTACTTGTCAACTTTTCCACCATCCAAATATTGCCTAAATCTCCCTAAAAATGATCGGTACGCTGGGATTATGATCGCCGTAATCGAAACTTGAAGCTCTGATTGAAGTTGTTCATCGCTCACAACCCACGTGCTCTGTGTCCTATGTATTTCATCAAAAGTTGTAGTGAAAATCTTGAACCTTTCTTTAAGTACTGATTTGTTGATTTTACCGTTGACTTGCAATCCGTCGTGGCTTAAACATGATAAAATTCGACTCCATGTCTCCCTTTGGTAATTTTTGTGAAAATGTCTCACCACTGTTGATCTCCTCCGGCACCAAGTGTCGCCCATCAATTGGCCGACTTCGGTTGAACCCTTGACTTTTTGAAGAATATATCTACCATTATTCATCAAGAAAATGTAACGCAATGAAGGGTCCCTATAGAGCTTCGATTTTGCCTCTAGGTTTGCATCCAATAGGTCGACTACTGTCACGATTTGTATCGAAAAAGGTGTCGTAATTGCCACGGTCTCAAAATTATGTGGGCTCTCACTTTCTTTTTCTATATCATTAGATGATAAATTGCTAGACATTGGGACAGATTTTTCCAACTTGGCATGTTTCTCAAAAATCTTCTCAAGCGTGTCTTTATACTCGCATGCATATTTCAGATAATTCATAACGTAACGAGTTAGAGGGTGCACTGCGCCACCAGGGACAGGACTTTTAGCAACATCGCTCTTGATTGAATTTTCCAGGTCACAGAATATGCTCACCGCCGATTCACCAATCCGGTCGCCGGAGGCAGCGATCTCGGACGTCAATTCATGCTCGCATTCATGTGAACACGAATCATTAATCGCCAGAATAAGATTCTGGAGTGTTTCGTACACGTCCAAGAATTTGAATAGCTTTTCAGCTGATCTTTTAGCCATTGACACTGCCTCTGCAAAATCAAGAAGCTGTATCACCACGGCCCGTGCAAGGTTGGTGAAAAGACTCCGGCGGATTAAAGGGTGGCCGGTGAAAATGGATTCGCCGAGCTTTTTTTCGCCGGGGAAGAGAGAACCGGAGCAAGTTTGAACTACTCTGATCCACCTGGAAATTTCTCCTTCAAGGGTTTCCCATTGCAGTTTGAGAACATCATCCATATCAATCTTTTCGAATTCGAGTTTTTTCATTTGTTCATTGAATGCAATTCTTCTTGAAACGGAATAGACTTGGCAGCATTCTGTTTCATATCCTGCAGAAATCATTGTAGAAGCAATCTTGTTCATTTTAGTCACCACCTCCGATGAATACCCCGGAAAATCACCACTTGACGTCTCACCTTGGTTGGATCGATCTTGATACTTGTAATTAAACGACGAATTTTTAAAAAAGTTCCCGGAATTCGATTGAGAATTGTTTTTACCATCTTCTAAAAGTGAACGAAATTCCTCCTCTAGAAACGCCATGGAACGTTGCAACACCATGCTGATCTGGTTGAAGGCCGGGGAAGTACTCGCACTTGGTTGAAACTTGCTGAAAGCATTGGCTAATTTCGATATGCGCGTAACAGCTTCTATGAAAAACTGGCCCTCTTCCATCATTTTGCCAAATCTCCTGTTGATTTCGCTCTGATTATATTTATCGATTCTTGATTCAACAATTCTTGAAAATGTCTCGACATAATCAGGAACATCGGGTGGATTTGACTTATCGTCAAAGGTAGAAAGTGTGGTAATGAATTGATCGACATCGTGAGAAATTTGAACGTGATTCCAATCATCATCCATAGTTTCTCGTGATCGTGAACGTCGGTAAAATGTATCATTAATTGTGTCCGAAGGAGGGCTTCTTGGACTGGACAAATATTGGCCATTTTTGACAAAGCTAGGATTTTTTTCCATTGGTAACAAAATTGTATTTCTCTTTGGCGAAAAGAGAAGACAAAAAGAAGTGGAAATTGAGGCTAAAAACAGAGAAGAAGAAGGGGAGTGATGAGGCAATAATTTTTGTGGAGAATTGTTTAAAAATAAGTGGTTTATTTTTTCGGAATTTGGTAGGATATAGTTGACCGTTGACCCGGTTGAGGAGGGAGTTTGTGCTCCACACGACTCGATTAGTTGTTTGATGGAGTATAATTAGGCTTTAGCCCATCGCGCCTTTTTGTGTTATTTTTCTCCTTTTTTTTTGGTTGACTTAAACTTACGTTTCAATAAAATAATGTTACACTAAATCTAATTTTTTTTATTTTTTAACCACATATTCTCCATCAAAATACTATTTCAAAATATATTATTTCCAAAAAAAAAAAAATGGGACTCAAACCGGCTCAAAATATATACAAGTAAACGTGTATATAGTGTTGGATGTTACCATTGTATTCATCATTCTATGCCCATGTTTGGTAGATTTTAAAATTCATATTTTAATTTAAGTCAAAATCAACTATGAATTTTAACTACACATTTTATGGAGTTCAAAACTTTTCGACCATACATTTCATCCATTTTTATCTACTAAAAGTCCGATTTTAATTTCCACTAGCAGTAAAAATATATATGTTACCTTCGTAAACCCTCTATGCAACAACTTATTCTCGATTTCAGTTAGAGTCGAGAGATGAGGATCTCTCTTAATGAGTCTATTTTCTTGGTTCGTTAAAGAGATTTGAGTAGAAAATAATTATGACCACTTTCTATCAAATGCATACTTGGCGTATCATGCTTTGATAATGGGCAAGATTGAATGGCAGCGTTCTCGGTGAAGAACAATAACATGAAGGCTGATTTCCCGAGGATTTGGTTGGCATATTAACATTCGGGGGTTAATATTCTGGATGACACTCTCCACACATAGGAGTCGCAAATATTATATTAGGCACAGGCCCCACTCACGTGTAGGTACTGTCATTAGAGATGTCAACCTCGAATATACACACAACATTATTTTAATTTATTTAGATGGAGCTCCAACCGATATAGCCAAGCAATTTGTAAAATCTCATAACGGGTAGGTCATTCTTTCATTTACAATGCCCCTGTTTAGTGAGAATTATAATATAATTTTTAGTGGATTTTGATAAAAGTTGATGAAATGCGTGATTTAAAAATTATGGATCTCATAAAATATTTGATTGAAATTAATTGTTCATTTTGATTTACATTAATATTTGAATTTTAGTTTCTATTAAATAAGGGCAAAATATAATACAGATTATAGCAAAGTGGCTTAGTCAACTATGTGAAACGGGCCTTTTTATTATTGTACTTTGAGTATGGGAGAGTTTATTTTTGTTAAACATGCTCTTTATGTACACATTTTATAGAATCGTCAACTATCATCTATTTTTTATTCACACATTCGATTGAACTCATTGATAAAATTAATTTAGACTCTTTCAGACAAGAATTAAATTAAAATAAATATAATTGGTGAAATGGGCTTACTCCATGTTAAGATAATTAGATCCGGATGTGATTAAAAATGGAAGTGAAAATTATATAAAACCAGGTTTTTTAAAATACAAGTGCAAAAATCAGTGTGGGAAGTTTTTTATTCAAACTTCAGGTTTTTTATAATTAAAATTTAAATATTGTAATTA